GCGAACCGGCGCCACCGAGGATCAGCAAGAACGCTGAACTGCAGTGCCGGTTCTCACTTTCCGTTCCACGCTGCAATCACCTGGGGAGTAGACATTTTGGTCCCTGTACCTGGGTATCCAGCCCCTAATTTCTGACTTCACCAGGGGCCTGAGCTTCTGCATGCCTGTGTACCCGCGTGTATATAAATATGTTTGTAGACATATGTACATTTACACAAAAAGTTTTTCATGAATACTGGCAAAGCTTTTTTTTTCCAATTAATTTTGAAATAAATAGAAGTTGCAAACCAAAGTGCAAGAGTATCCCTTCACTTAGAGTCTCTACTTGCCCTTTTTCTTTTTCTTTTTCTTCCCTCCCCCCCCCTGCCCCCCTTTCTCAGTGTATCTACCTGCCCCATCAAGGATGATGGTAACCTGGTTCAGCTGGTGGACCAGTGCCTGCCAGATTTCCTCCCCACGAGTTGACTAATTTTCCCCTTTAATTGCCAACTATTTTTGAGGAGATATTCCCAGCATCCATTGCTGACTCCTGCCTGAGTTAACCAGCACTCTGATTTTAGGACGCTTGGCATCCGCTGTGAGAAGGAGCTTTCCCTTCTCCCCCACTTACTCATTTTGTATTCGTGTCAGTACGGACTCGTGCATCACCATTTTATTTAATAATAAATAATTCACTTGTATCATTGCTTATTTTTTTAAAGATTTATTTATTTATTCATACAGAGCTGGAGTACAGGCCAGAGATGCGGGGGGGTGAGAGGATTCACCAGAGACAGAGCGGGGAGCAGAACAGACAGATGGACGAAGTACACTGCTGAGGGGAGCAGCGGGCGGGTCAGGAGAGGTCCGCCGCGCCATGTGGTCACCTCCGGGGCAGGCGGGAATCGAACTCATGCGGAAGTGGCTTTAGCTTCTCAGTGCTGTGCTTTAACCTACTGCACCACCACAGCAGAGGACCTCAGATTCGAATTTTTTTTTTTAAAGATTTATTTATTTGTGCACACAGAACGGGGGTACAGGCCAGAGGCTCAGGGGCAGCGAGAGGCTTCACCAGAGACAGAGCGGGGAGCAGAACAGGCAAAGCGACAAGAAGTACACTGCTGAGAGGAGCAGCAGGCGGGTCAGGAGAGGTCTGCCACACCATGTGGTCACCTACGGAGCAGGCGGGAATCGAACTCATGTGGAAGCGGCTTTAGCTTCTCAATGCAGTGCTTTAACCCACTGCACCACCAGGGAGGGCCTATCATTGCTTATTTTAATATACACATTGTTCCAGACTTGGCCCACTGGAGGCCCTTCAAACTGGCTCCTCTTTCCTTTTGTTGTGACCCCGCCATTCTTCGAGTTCTTGCTTCTTTACCCAAATAAACTGGCGTGTTCTCGACCCTAGAGTCAATTTTCCGCTTATTGGAAGCTGGGATTTAAAAGTCAAAACTGGCGCCAACACTTGATTTTTCACTCTTTGTGGGAAGCCGTTGCTATTCAGACGCTATAGGTTTTGCATCAGGAAAGAGTACGCATGCGTACAAATGTACTACGCATGTGTACAAATGTACAGCCCTTTCTGCATATCTATGTATACAGATAAATTTTTAAATTATGAGTTCAGATGAATGCCTTGCATACCAACACCTCAGGTTTCTCTCATTTGCTACCTTTCCCAAGTTGTAACTCCCTTCTCCAATGTGAGAAACCTCACCGCCTTATCTTTAGTATTTATGTGCTCAATTTCCACATGTAACTGATGTCCTAACTACATCAGCCTCCTCTTAGCCCTAGCTCCTACTTGGTTTCCTCCCTAACACTATCTCCAAAAGAGGAGAACCCACAAAAGGCTTAATGGGATTCCCCCTGAGCAGTGGCCTGAGAGAGAGGTTATGAAATGCATCACATTTTCTACATTGCTAGCATTTTCCACAAAAATAATGGATTAATTCTATAATTAAAAAAAATTTTTTTTAAAGAAAAGTAATGTTTGTTTGCTCTAAGTTCATTTGGTGTTGTCTGTTGGCAGACAGACAGAAGGCATCAATGTACAGGAGCCAAGTGTGCAGGATAAAGCTCAAAATAAAGATACTTGACCCATTTAACTTTTGTTGGCAGCATGGACATTATTGACATTATCCTGTTTTATTGCCAAATCTTTGAATGGACAAGTTGGTATACAACAAGAGCTCAAAATGAGAACCCCCAAACTTTATTCCTTCTTATTTACTTCCTTCTATTAACTCTAACTTTCTGGCCTCCTTCTGGCATCTGTTTGAAGGAGAAATGCCACATGAGCTAGTCTGAATGAGATTTTACATCTCATAGTGACAGTGTTGCTACCTTGCCGCCACCATTAATGCAGTGGCCCAGTGAACAAGAGTTTATTTCTCCCTCCTCCAGCAATGTGAAAAGGTTAGGTTAGCAGTGCATCTCCATTTCATGCTTATTCAGGGACTTAGATTCTTGCTAAGTCTTTGCCCTTCCACAGTTGCTCCCGGCGTCATTTTGAAAACAGTGGTCCCATTAGAGGCTTCTGCCATCACCAGAGCCTGGAAAGGATGAAACCTTGCAGCAGCAAAGTTTCCTGACTATTCACACCAGACAGGACAGGACTAGGATCTTGTCTAGGTATTCCAAAGAATTTCATTCAGTCATTTCAGTGCTTACACAATCACTGGGAGGGCTGGAGGAAGAGAAGAACTGAGTCTGAGAACCAAAGTTGCCATCTGAGGAGCAGGAAGCCACTGCTCCTGCAGCTGCCACTCAAACATCGGAAGCTAGGGAAGGGTTCCTAGAACCCTGTTGCTGAGAAACGCCTCATCCTCCCCCCAACTTCCCCTTGGGTTCATCCATAGAAAACACACAAAAGGACAGGGAGATGCACTCTGCCTTTATTTCATGCTGGTAATCCCAATGTTAATTAAATCATCTTAATTGGCATCCAGAACCCTGGGTAAAGGAATCCTATAATACAAAGCTTTGACTTTTCTGCCCCTACAAAGCAGAAAGTCACCCAAAGGAAGAGATGGAGGAAGGAGGAAGTTTGACACAGTCCACAGTATCTTCTGCGCCAGAATCCAGAAATTGCCTCTTGCCCTATATGGTACCCCAGCAGTTTCATCAGTCTTTCCCTGCCCATTACCCTGAGCCCCAACTGAGAGGAACACCCCCTGCTCTACCTGCCATCCTAGGTGCCCATCATCTCACTGACCACATCATGGCCCAGACTGGGTATTGCCTTAACCCAGTCAAGACATGTGAGAGCTGCTAAAGGATAGCTTTAAGGGAAAGGCAAAGGATGACTTTTAAAAGGAATTGAAAACTAGAGAGACAAGTTTACTTTGCACACAATCCCTATCCAGTTCAATTTAGTCATTTCATACGAATACTCATTTTCACATAAATTCACAGTATTTTTAATTGCCTATTAGTATTTTCTCTCACCACACTCCTGGGACTAAGACTATACTCCCACTGTGCAGATGAGAACACCGAGAAGTTGAGGGACTCAGCCAAGATCATGCTGCTGGCCCGTGGCAGAGATGAAGTTATAACGCAGGTTTGCTGCCTCCATAGAGGTTTGAGTAGCCTCAAGCCCACAGTCTCTGGGCCCACCCCCCACTTCCAGTGGGCTGCTCCACATGACATGGGCCCTACTCCTCTCTCCCTGCCCCATATTCACCTCCCTTGAAGGCTTCCTCTGCCCCTTCCCCATTGGGGTTAATGTCTTAGGCACATCACAGGGAGGGTTAACAGTGGGTCAGGAGTGCTTCCCTGCCAAGAACACAGAAGAGGAACAGACCCACAGGCTTTTGGGTAAAAGGTCATTTCCTCACAGAGACCCTCAGCTCACAGCCCTGAGCATTGTGGACCGCTCAAAAAGAGCTGACACTTACACGGGGAAAGCACTTCTGTGGATCACAGGGGAAGCACTTCTGTGGCACAGGGGTTTATAGGAGCTTTGGGCAAGTCACTCCAAGTCTTGGGGGTCAGGTAACTAGTTAGCATGCCACAGTCTTATTCACTGTTGGAATTAACCAGGCAAGTCACTCCACCAACTAAGAAAAGCCATGCACCACCAACAGAGTCAAAAAAGAGCTCTCATTCTGTCAATCCTGTCTGTTTTAAACTCTCTAGGCCTGAATTTGCCACCTGAAAGGATTATGATAGTGGCCCTCCCTGGTGGCACAGCGGGTTAAAGCATAGCACTAAGAGGCTAAGTTCAGAATAAGTTCGATTCCGCCTGCCCCGGAGGTGACCACATGGCGTGGCAGACCTCTCCTGACCTGCCCGCTGCTCCCCTCAGCAGTGTACTTCGTCGATCTGCCTGTTCTGCTCCCCACTCTGACTCTGGTGTAGCCTCTCGCCGCCCCTGAGCCTCTGGCCTGTACCCCAGTTCTGTATGAACAAATAAATAAGTCTTAAAAAAAAAGATTATGATAGAACCTTCCTCAGAGTTTTATGGAGGCATCAGTTAGGCCACTAGCATGGTAATAACAACTAATGCTTGAGAAGAGGGACCTGTGCACCACATGTATTAATTTTTTTTAAAAAATTTATTTATTTATTCACACAGAACTGGGGTTACAGGCCAGAGATGCAGAGGGTGAGAGGCTTCACCAGAGACAGAGTGGGGAGCAGAACAGGCAGATCAATGAAGTACACTGCTGAGGGGAGCAGCAGGTGGGTCAGGAGAGGTCTGCCACGCCATGTGGTCACCTCCGGGTCAGGCGGGGATCGAACTCATGTAGAAGTGGCTTAAGCTTCTTAGTGCTGTGCTTTAACCCGCCGCGC